GCCATTGCGTTAGAGATAAAATGTTTTAGTAAAATAGAATATTGACTTGGAAAATAAAACGATTTAAAAGAAAGTTACAGTACTCTTTCGCACAACCTCCCGCCCGCTTCCGCTTTCCAATCACCTTTTTCTTCTCTCGCTTTTGCGACCACTTGTTGAATTCGACCGGACAATTTCCGCTTTATTTTCGACTGCGCAAACCCCGAAATATCACCGCCCACCTGCTCGCTCGCGCGCATTTAAAATTCGGACTAACAGAATAATTTCCGAGGTTCACATTGTCTTATAATTGTCTTTCTGGTTTTTATAGATGTTGAACAGCTGACAAAAGTTCAAATACTTTTTGTTTTAACTAAATATAATTATATGCACGCAACCTGACCCTTTGACCTCGATTTGGCTTGGACTGAATATTTTATTTTAAACAATATTCTGACGTGAAATACAAAATGTATTTCAACACAAGTACGACAGGGTTGTCTGGGGTTTCTTTCCTGATTGTTGAGTCTTCGCAATGTGTTTTGTATAATTATTGTTGTTTTCCCCCGATGCTGAAGGACCTTAAAGTGCCTGTGAAATGGCTGCTATTTTCACGCCTAAAATTATCAATTGATACATAAATATTATTAATTTTTATGTTTCTAAGCATGAATTATTTTTTTAAGTGAAAAAATGTGTTTTAAACTCAGTCTACGGCAACTTTATTTTTGTGTATTTTAAAACGAGGCTCCTCATTAGCTTCTCATTTGCATACAGAAATTCCCCTTGTGACGTCAGAAGGGGAAGTCGCATGGCAGCTTGCATTGCCGATACGTGTAAATAAAGCAAATTTCTTGTGCAGTTTTCTCGTCTTTGACTATATTGTCACTTATGTACTTGTTCGTCGAGGAAGAATGGACCATAATGAACACGTGGTATAATTTTTTGTTGCATGGGGTTGAGTTAGATGCGAAATATGTCCGTTCTGGTGTAGCTGGTCACCGTGATCGTCACCGACACCGGCGCACGGTTGTACACTGTTGCTGGACAAAATAGATTTTGACGTCGGAATTATCTCGTTATTTAGCAGATTACTAGGCACGTCACTACACTGTTTTATTTCATCGATCGTCTGAGTAAAACTTTCAAAATTAAAATAAAAGAGAACATATTTTGACATTCTAAACATTAGACTATAGTGATCACTATAAAATAATTAAAAAAACGACAAATCAAAGTTACTAAATAAATTAAAATAGGTGAACGCGTCGGGTCACGGCGAGGGCAAGTGCGTTAAAAGCGGCGTTTAATTGGATAACAAAAATAATCGAGATCGACACACATACAGATAAATTCAGAGTGGATTCGAGTTAGCTTGATCCATGGCGTGATTGTCATAATTATAACATCGTATTAAAACTGTATTTGCTGGAAACACATTGACCAAGCCCAGGTTTCTTATTTCATAAATTATTACGCAGATCAAGCTGCAAGCATGGAGG